TTTTTTTTTTTTTTAGTTTTTGACCAGACATGACACAAAATGCTCACATTTTGACAAAATAAGTTATAAAAAGAATTTCAAAGAATGTTCTCTAAATGCCCTAATTTTACGAGAAATGTGCAGAAAAAGATAACATTTAAAAAAATAATTTTGCATGAAATTTCTGTCAATTTTTTTTTAGTTTTTGACCAAAAATGACACCGGAGTTCACATTTTGACAAAACAATTTATAAAAAAAAATTTGAACACAAACATTTTTAAAAAATGTTCAAAAAAAAATGTCAAAATGTTTTGGAAAAGTTTTTTTTCAAAACATTTTGAAAAAAAAATTCCAAAACATTGTGAATTTGTTTTTCCCCCAAAACATTTTGGAAATGTTTTGGGAAAAACATTTTTTCAAAATAAATAAAATTAATTGAAATAAAATAAATTTGAATTTTTTTTTTCAAAAATGTTTTTCCAAAAAATTTTGAAAAAAAATATTTTGACAATTTTTTTGAAAAAAAATTTTGAAAAAAAAACTTCTCCAATAAAAATTTAGACATTTTTTTTTTCCCCAAAACATTTTGAAATTTTTTTTTCCAAAACATTTTGAAAAAAAAAAAATTTCCCAAAACATTTTGGAATTTTTTTTCAAAATTCTTTTTTTCAAATGTTTTGGAAAAAAATTGTTTTTCCAAAAAATGTTGAAATTTTTTTTTTCCCAAAGCTTTTTTTTCAAAATGTTCTGGAAAAAAAACACTATATTTTGATGAGAAACATGCACAACAGATAAAATAAGCTTTTTTGAACATTTTCACCACAATTTTTTTCTAAACTTATTTTAATTTTTTTTTTAATCTTTAAAAAAAATATTTAAATATTTAAAAATATAAAATTTTGTTTTGTAATTTTTTTTTAAAAAATACTGCATTTTGATGAGAAACATGGAACCTGCAAACCAGTTAAGGTTTGCAATTAAAACAAGTTCCTCTGGGCTTTAAATGATTTGTTGTTGTACCATGGAAAACCACCTCCTGGAGAAAGCACAGATAGTGCAAGTCTACACGGAGAACAAACTAGAAATTCTGAGGGTTTGATGTATTTCCAATCACATTCATCACTGCATTATCAATGTTATCTCATCATAATGACAAGTTTGAGCCCAAAGAATGTATATATTTCATCTGTATGTTGCACTTCAAACACGTCTTTGTCCTTAAATGGAAAGATTTATGATATGAGGAATTGCTTTTTTCCTCATTATGTGTCTGTGCAAACAGATTTATATGCACAGAACATAAGCAATCACTAGACCACACACACAAACACACACAGTGCCAGTTCAGGTGAGCACATTATATTTTGGCATAGATTTTTTTCATTCATTTACTTGATGAGTGGTGCCACTGTGGCTGCTGCACTGGGATCAGAGTTTTAGCAAAAACGTAGATTTGTCTAGAACAAGAGCTACTGTATCCGTATTTCAATCGGATGCAGAAGCTCTTGTTCCATGTTTACATAAGTAGCTAATAAGAGAGAAACAGTTCATGTTGACTTCTGGAACCTGTAAACTATTGCCACTGTTATGAGAAAAGAAAAAAACCTAAAAAAAAAGCCCTGAATTTGCAAGTAGTTACAAAATATGTTGAGGAGCTCAATAAAAAAAGCCAGACTTCTTGTCTTCCTCTAGTATTTTAATAACCCAAACAATTATATATATTATTTAAATTTTTATAGTTTCCTTTTTCTGGTACAGTGGTGTGTCACAATGACAAGGAGTTCACTTTCACTTTTCCGAGGTTCCAGCTCCTCAGGGACAGGAGGAGGAGCGGCTCCGCCTGTTGTTTCTCTCTGATTAGCTACTTATGTAAACATGGAATTCATTTCTGTCGACTCACCTTTTCAGGAGATCTCTACAGGCTGAAGACCCTCTTCTCACTCCCATCCTCCGCTGTACTATCACTGATGAGGACCTGTTTTCTGCCATTCACCAACGTCGAGTCGAGATGACGGCACACTTGGAGAGAGGTAATGCCGGGTGGCCTGACGGGTAATGAAACAGATCACATACATAAAGAATTCACATGTAACGTTATAGCCTTGTATTTGAAATGTCTGAAGTGTCTGTTCCACTTACAAGAAACACTGTTTTTCACGCTGTTTTTCCTCCGATAATCAAAACCGATAACTCAATGCCTGGGTTTCGCCAAATGACGTACGTTCTAAAAAAAAAAAAAAGTCCACGCCGCAGCTACAGACCAGTCAGGTTCGTCTGAAGAGATTTATTGAAACATAGTTTAAGTAATAGTACATAGTACTCGTTCTTAACTCCTTAATTGCTCTCAACCGAGCTTCTCCAAGATCGCCTGCACCCCCCACCCCCCCTGCTAACTTCCCCAACGACTACAACCCCCCCCCATACCCGTAACTGTTAACTCCTTCGTGATGTGGCGCAGCGGTAGAATGAGACAGAGGCGTTTATTTGACCAGAACGCGGTTTATCACCTGACCGATGATCAGCACTGTTGTCGGCCACAGCTCACGCCAAACCGCGTGGAGTAGAACAGCACTAATCAGGCCAGCCGGGGCTCCAACGCAAGGTACAGAACACACTGAGCATGTGCGCTACAACATGGTGCGTTCAAGGCACACAATCGTCATAAAAAGTAGAACCAGAACTTAACATTTATTCCCCACTAAAACAAATGAACACAGAACTCTATCAACGCTTAACAAGCCTGTAGTCACTAGGTGGCAGCATTGTCGTTTATTTTATTAATCAATATATTGATAATCAGGGAATTCTATGCCGTTCGTACAGATAAATATAAACATATTACCAGGTGCTCAATAGTATTCTAATTCTGTCCCCTAGGGGGCAGAAAAGAATTGAGAAACATACTGTTTTAACTTCCACCACCGCCCCCTGTCGTATCGGTCGATATAGGAATCGGAATTAATAAATTACATTAATAAATGTATATTATTTTTCTGAATGTGTCGTTTATAGCAGACTTTAGCTACAATTCCACCATCTTTTTGTAACTGGATTTTAGTTGTATTTTTGAGTTTGTTTGAGCAGAGTGAAAAGTAAATTATAAATAAAAAACAAGTTTAATTCCTTGGCCCACACTTTTTATACGGTGTTGCAGTGCATTCTGAACCCTGTGAAGTATCACTTGACATGAAACACAACCTCAGCTCTCACACTCACACACACACACACACACACACACACCTCTGAACAAAAGTAAGTTGTAACTCCTGTCTCTCAGGCTTCATGTTCAGGATCAAACATAAAACCCCACCAACACACACACACACACACACACACACACACACACACTCCTGAAACCCCCTCTTCTCTTCTCTTTCACTGCTCTTTGCCATGGTAACAACTCACACCAACTTCAGCCGAGTCGCTGCACATTTTCAAAAGAGCAAAAAAAAAAAAAAAAAACAGGAAAAGGTCAGGAGTTTGAATTCCAGCCATTTTTACTGCAGGAAACAGTTTGTGTTTCTGATCATTCAGGAATCACGTTCAGTTTGAAAATCACGACAATATAATACAGTACGTGATGTACAGCGTCTGCCAAAGACAGGACTGCCCTCAGGGTCTGGTCCGGCCTGGGGGGGTCACGGGGGTCACAGGGGTCACAGGGCTCTTCATTTTCCAACTGTTCCCGTGCGTTTAATCGTGGGCAGTGGTTTCCTGTGACGTTTCCTGTCCCAGCGGCTGCAGCAGCAGCTGAAACAACCTCCAGTGGTGACTTAGGAGAAAGGACAAAAGGTCGGGGCGGAGAACTGTTAGACACGTCAGCCGTTCGAGGTCGGACAATCGAGAGAAAAAAGTGATAGAAAATAGAAAATAATTCAATTTATTTCCACAGAAAATGAGATTGAGTTGAAGACGCTGTGAAGTGGCACGGTTCTGTGTCTGCACACACACACACACACACGCACACACGCACGCGCACACACACTTTCGATCCCGTTTCACACAGTATTCACTTCCTGTCCAGGTGTCGGACGTCGTGCTCAGATTTTTTTCCGTTTCATTTATTTTATCCTTTAAAGTAAAAGTGAAGATTTTGAAATAAAAATGTTAAGTCAGTCTTGAGCCGCTGTGCAGAATAAATACAGAATGATACAGTTCTAAATGGTTGGATTTGATGGTAGAACCGACAACATCCGCTCAGGTTCAACGGTGCAGGAAGTGAACGGTCAATTCATTTCCTCCTGGTTCAAATATGACAATAGAATATTAGTAAAGTAGACGGTCGGACGTCACTGACCGACGTCAAACACAGACACCAGGAACCAATCATCAGGAATGAGTCCAGGTTTAACTGTGACGTCATGTTTGTCATTGGTACGTTTGCCTTACAGAAAGAAGGTCTAAGGCTCAAACCCCAGTGGAGACTGATGGTTCTACATGCTCCATTATTAGTCTAATCCACAGTGAGATCGTGTTTTAGGAATAAAAAAAACCCCAAATTATCACCACAAAAATATTTGTTTAAAGAATTGTTTGGTGTTTTCTTTTAACACAGAAAAGGTTTTAAAGAAATCTAACATTAAGGAAGTAAAAGTATTGTTTTCACATCAAACAAACAGAACTTCACCTAAAAACGGACTGTTTTTTTGTTTTTGTTTTTGCTGAACATTTGTGTTGTGGGGATTTACATGTTTTGTCAAAGTTGTGCAGGAAGAGTTCAACAATGTTGAGCGTTTCCTGCCTTTGGCCTGTGACGTTGTTCTGCAGCACAAAGGCTCCGTCTGCTCTGCACTTTAGAACCACCGGCTGTGGAACGGGTTCGGGACTGAATCAGGGAAACATTAAGTTCCAAAGAATTGGATTCTTTTGAGAATCAAAACCAGATATTTTCTGGGGCTAACCTTTAGCCAATATTCCAGATAATGTTTTGTGTTTTCTAACTTTTGTTTTTCGGAACATTCCCTCGTGTTATTGAACGTCACATTCAATCCAATCTGAATCACGCAGAGTAACAGCAGTCAACACGGTGGTTCTGGTAACCAAAGAATTCCGGTCTAACCAGTGTGAAGTCGACTCTGTGGTTCAGGGTCGCTGTAAAGCCCTTAACTGACAGCTGATGCCTACGAATATATACGCAGCTCTGAAACTCAACGCCGACGAGAGACTGACGTGGAAAGAGGAGCTGAAGAGCCCGTCGTGACTGTATAACGGCCGCTGTCCTTCGTGCTTCACTGGAATGCGGGGGCCTGTTTCCATCGGCATTGACCGTCTCCACGGTGACGGGCCGTGTCGTAAACACCACCCCCCGCAGGGGTGATGACGTTACTGTCTCTCTTGTCTGAGCATCTTCCCTCTTGGACTTCAGTCAAAGCCTCGCTCTTTAATTATCAGCCATTTCACCATGGAGATGATCGCCCCCCGCAGACACTAAACAAACAAGTGAGCAACTTTCATGAAGGATCACTACAATCGGTGATTGCATCGCGAAATTGGTCACTAGCAACCGTAAACAGCAATTACCGGACACATGGCTTTTTCATCTCCGTCGTACGTATAATTCAAAACCCATTTGGCCAAAACTGCTTCATTTGTGCCTGAAAATATGAGTCTCATTGACATTTTATTATTGATTTGATTATATTTTGAAAAAAAAAACACACACATCAAAAGGTTGTCAGACGGTGACAAAAGCTGGATAAACAGATCTGAAAAAGACAAAGGCAACCGTCCAGGAGACGTAAACACGTCCAGCGTCAGGTCACAACACAAACCCAGCAGAGTGACGAAGCCAAACACCTCTGACAGCACAACAATCACAGCCAGCTGCCCGCCGCCTCACAATCGCTGCAAATCATATCCCTGTCCAGGTGCCAGAATATTCCATTGTCGTCTTTAGAAAAACAGATTTCTTTTTTAAATACTGAGACAGAAGAATTAAAAGTTGGAAACGGTTCCTGGCTTCAGTCGAAACTCTTCTTTTTGAAGTTTGATTTCACTTCCACCTGTAGCCAAGCTCTAAGTTTTACATTTATTTATTCAGTATTTTACTGTTGCCCCTAAATTAAATTAAAAATGCTGATAATTAAACAATTAAAATACAGAACACCTTTTCTCTGGCACTGTTTACTTTAAAGTTTCATTTCCAAAATGATTCTATTCTCAGAGGACTGGTTAATGAACCGTTAACCAGGTTAATGAACCGTTAACCAGTCTCTCTGTCTGTGCTTTCACTCTGCTTTCTTTGGCTGAAGTGCTGCCACTTCGCTCTGGGACGTGATGTCACGACGGACGTGGAGGAACATTTACGCCTGAGATCAGGGTGAGAGCTGATTGGTCTGCGACCTCCGCTGACCTTCATTTAAACGGATCCTTAAATGGTCGTGGTCTTCTGACGACCTCTGTGTGTGATCACTGTGAGGCCGTGAAGAGTCTCTGGAGCTGAACGCTGTATTTATGTAACACACACACAGGAAGTTGGCAGCTGAGGAAACTCCCTCCATTGTTGGTCCACAGTAGTCGACCGACACCCACGGTTCTACGCCCACATTTTTAACCCGTTCTTCAGATTCTTCTGGTCAAATTTGTACACGTTTCACCTTTTACTGTTGATGAAACTGTTGATGAAACAATGTTAGGAGAAGAATCCTTTGCTTACTTTTCTCAGCATGTTTATCTGGGGGAGGTTAACGGGGGGGTGTGGGGGGGGAGTTATGACCATACCCCCATTAACTCACTGTATTTAACTATTTTGATAGTTAAATAATGATTTATTTTTCTCCATAAAACTATTTTCAGATGTAGCTCAAACAAAAAGTAATTTAGTAAAAAACTGTTTAAAGGATTACACATGACAGAACCCACACTGATTTAATTTCTATAAGCTCTGGAATTTAATTAATTTTTACAAAAATATTTAAAGAAAAAAACCAGTTAAAATAATCGTTACCAAAGACTTTGGATGTTGGTACAGTTATTAACGTCCCTCAAATACATTTGCTTTTTGAAAGAAGTCAAACTTCTGCTGAAATCTTCAATATAACGGTTCACAACGCCTGCCTCCGAAGGAGCAGGCAGACAGTCATGGGTTCGATTCCCAGAGGAACCACATACCTACAGCCTGTTGCATCAGATCTGCTGTTGACTCAGGACTTTCTCACTAACGTTCACATTATTATCATTAAATGAAGTGAGTGTTTTTGTCCTAATTATTCAAACAGTTTTTCATGTTCTGCTGCTCTGATTAGTCAGTGCCGTGTGTTTGATGTTCGATGCCAGGATATTGTCACGTGTTGACAGACACGTGTAAACGTGTGTCGGTGAAAGAAGAGCTTCATTTTCCCCCGGCTATGATCACCAGTAACTGAAGTCGTTGGTAACAAATGTGATCAAACACTTCTGTTTTCATTCAGATGCTCCTGACAAAACGGTAATAAAGTTGTTTTTTAAACGACTATTGAGAAATTCAGTCAATATCACATTGTTGTATTTGGGAAACTGACAATCCAAAATTCACTTCCTGGACCAAAAAAAAAAAAAAAATCAAAGACACTTCACGCCTGAAGGCTCTGTCTGGCCGGCCTGTCGGGTCATGAGATAGTTTTGTCTAGAGAAGTCTGTGTTCCTAATCTCAGTGAGGCAGCAGGTGTCTGGTGTCTGCTCTGAGGCCACGCTGTCTGCAGCGAGCCCTTGTTTTGACACCGTGGGATAGCCCACTTTGTTCTTACTGTAAATGAGCCCAACACACTGTTACCCTGTGGTGTCTGGATGGAGGGTGGAGGATCCTCAAATACCACAACAGCCCCAGTCAATCTGACAGGAAACGGCAGCCGCCCAATGAGAGGTGAGCTGTAAAAACAAACGCTGAGTCACTGAGTTACTACAAGTACAAAAACTGATGCCGCTTCATTTTTGACATACTCTGGCTGACTTTGTTTCAGCCGAAAAACTGATGGAAACATCACAGCCTGTCAGCTACGACCACGCCCTACGGCTCCCTCTACTGCCTGTATCTGTAACAGCAGACCTTTAATCCTAGAACCTTTACAGATGTGACACTGAAAGTTGATTGATTTTGGTATTTGGTGAAATCAACAAAAAACTACAGCAGAATTTGAAGCTTGACAAACTTCATCTGCCTCTGTTTATGGGGGGAGGAGCCAATCCCAGGAATCATCAGGTGTGGGGTGGGGAGGGGGAGGGGGAATCAGTCCATCACAGGACCACACAGAGAGAACAAAGAAAACAACAGTTCATACTTAACGACACTAGGGGGAAAAGAAGCCAAGAACACAGTAGGACAATGAACTCCACAGAGAAAGATTCAAAATCCAACCAGCCGTGACGCAGGAACACTACAGGAACACCCCAACACCCCAACACCCCAACAGTCCAACACCCCAACAGTCCAACATCCCAACACCCCAACAGTCCAACATCCCAACACCCCAACAGTCCAACACCCCAACACCCCAACAGTCCAACATCCCAACACCCCAACAGTCCAACACCCCAACAGTCCAACACCCCAACAGTCCAACACCCCAACACCCCAACATCCCAACATCCCAACACCCCAGCACCCCAACACTCCAGGAACACCCCAACAATCCAACAATCCAACAGTCCAACAGCCCAACAGTCCAACATCCCAACAGTCCAACAGCCCAACAGTCCAACACCCCAACACCCCAACATCCCAACATCCCAACACCCCAACATCCCAACACTCCAGGAACACCCCAACAGTCCAACAGTCCAACAGTCCAACAGCCC